ACACATAACAGTTTCTACAATATCCAATCAGAAGACTAGAGCAAACAATATCTAATTAGAAGACTATAGCAAATAGCTAATTATATAAAAATCACTTTTCTGTTTATAGATTATGATCTCAACATTTTTTGATGACGTCAACTCTAGGAAATTTTGACGTCACTTGCTCCTTGCCAGCTACAAGTAAACTATGACATCATCCTATCTATATGACATGCATGACGTCAGCCAGCTAAAAATAAACTATGACATCATCCTTTCTGAATGGAATGCATGACGTCATCGGCATTAATTTAAAGTATGACATCATCCCATCTTAATGAGATGCATGACGTCATCTACGTTAATTTATACCGCACAAAAAGTTAATTAAATCCGCAAAGAAAAGGTTAATTCGGTGCCTTATCCACTACTCCCGTATTTACATAGGTAATCTTGCGCTCATGTTCAGCTTAATTAAAGTGTGGGATTGTACCACTTTGCGATTTACCTTTTTTTTAAATATCAACCCTTATTAATCCAATTTGTTGAGTAGGTCATCACTTCCAAATTTTAAGTTAAAGCTTAGTAATTTGTGTTTTTTAATCTGCTCTAACGGTTAAGTAACTCTGTCATTGAAAAGATCTCTTGAGCTATCATACGAAAATCTTCCGTCTCCAACTCATATTCAGATTAATTGGTTTCAAAAGTTCAGTTTTTAAGGTAAAATATTCTTCTTCAAATATAGCCACCCTCCTTCTCCAGAAAAAAATGAGTTTATTTGGAACCAAATAAAAATTTTTATGTCTCCCCTTCCAATTTCTTCAATGCATGGATTTTGGGGGGGTGGGGTCGATTGCGGCTTCAAAGGCTTAGAGGCTCTCGAATGTGAACTTTGAATTATCTTACAATGGTTTACGATCGCATGAGAATCACAAGACCAAAAGTAAAATTACTTTTGGGTAATAATCACGAGCTCCTATAGTAAGGCCACTCAAAGTAAATGTACTTAGCCTCGATCTCATTATCTCGAGGAGACCCTTTATAAGAGGGTGTAACCTTTTGTTAATCCTCTCGGTCTGAAAGCTGACATCAAGCCGAATCTTCGATAGCTGACCCGCTTATCCTTTCAACAAGCAATCGACCCGCCTCCTCCCCAATCTTCCACCTTTTTTACTTGCTTTAGGTATTTCTTGTAGTTTAGTTGCCTTTTTCTTCTGGCCCTCACCTTTGCTAGACTTATAAATTCGTAAACATTATTTCATATTTTAACATTGATAAGATGATTTTACAGATTTGAATAAAACCGGCCATTAACTTGGCCATGTTTTTAATCCCAGACCATAGTCTCGGTTTTCTTTGTTTCCTAAGTTAGGCGTCTAGCAAACAAAGCTTGGCTGTTGGCAGTAAAGGGGGGTTTATTGTTAGTGTTTCAGTAAACCGGACAGGAGACATAAAAAACCTTTTCTTTATACGATAATGTTCCTGTCACCAACTAGAATCATGTTAAAATTCGACCTATGAGAAAAAGTTAGGAACAACAGCGCTGACAGGGTATACTAAAGAATTGAATAAAGTTCATTTTCCAGGTAACCCTAGAACTGAACAAGAGCAAATTTGCCCCACAGTTTGACCGTGCCAATCAATTTCTTCTGATGGAAATTTAGGGAATGTCTACACTTGGTGTCTGAGAACTACGTTAGTGCCTGGGTAGTGACAAAAAATGGTGTTTTGTTCACACCTTGGGTATACCTAAAATGTAAACTGTGTACATTATTTACTCCTTTTTGCCCTCTGTGAGACCCCATTTTGAAACGCGAGCTCGAGTAGATAGCAGTAGATTACCCCAGAACAAACAGAAATGGTGTGCCAATGTATAAGGTCTCGACCTTGTCCTCGGGCACCGACCACACGAATTAATTCGGACGTGGATACTTGATAAAAGCGTGTGTTCACATTAGTTTCCAACGAGTACCGCACTCGGGCGTTGTACCCATGCATCAAGTGTGAACACTGCCTTAGTCTCCCCAAATGTTTCAAACCTCACCAGTCCGTCTATGTGTACGTCAACAGTTAGTATGCGCATGCGTTAGTATTCAAGAGCGAAATGTTAGTTGAGTTTGTTGTTGGTTCGCTTCTCTGCTCCAAGACTGATGGGGATTTTTCAAGGTACATTCAAACCTTGTTTTATGAACACCCACTTAATTGGGACACCCCTTTAATACGGACACTTTCTAAGGCCTCATCAGTGTCCTTATTTGTGGAGTTTGAGTGTCCTTTCATTTCACTTGGCATTGCTTATTTCAAAGAAAGAAAGACATTCAGCACGCTATCTCCTGGTGATTTGAGCGAATAAAGCTGTAAATATGAGCAATTTTCGTGTATTCCGTGGGATTGTTTTAACCCCTTAAGATGGCTGGCATTTCGCTACCGGTACACTAAAGAAACGGTTACGAAGGTGTAGAGACTATACGACTACGGTTTAGTATTTTTTTTCAAATCAACCATTACAATTTTGTAGGCATTACAACACCCATCAAATCTCAGCTTTTTGTGTCAGTCACCTCACCCAGAAACAATTGCGGGTTATATTTTGATGCTAGTTCCTTTCGCATTTCTAAAGTAGCGAGTGGAAGTGATAACATTGTTGTGACACGTCTCGTTGGTAAACGTACCATAATTATAACGTTGCAGGAAAGTAACACTTTGCAACACAACTAGTTTTGCCTGTTTTTTTTATTTTTTTCGATATATCAACTTACTAGCTAATTAACTAAAGTTATCTTCAACAAGTTCTTGAAAGGCGACGTTTCTTTTTTTGTCAAACTTACACATATATGCCAAGAAAAAAGGACGAAAAAGCATACCTTATTATAGGAAATTAACGCTCCAAGAAATTAACGCGAATCGTTAAAATTCGCGTTAATTTAAGTCGCTTTAATTTTGTTGAGCGTTAATTTCCGCGACGTTAATTAAGTGCAGCGTTAATTTCCGCGCTCTTAATTGCCAGTATTTTAATCCCAATTTTGGAACCTGTCGAGGTATTCTTGACACCTAAAAATCATTAAAGGGAACCTCCACTCTTACTACAGAATAAGTTTAAATCGAATAAAATTATGTTGATAAACAAATTTGTTCGAAATTTGTCTTAAAAAAAGTGTTTATATCAGGAAAAGTGAATTTTAAAATCGCTTATTTTCACTTTCAAATTTCGCGGGCGCCGCCATCTTGACTAATTGTGACGTGTTACGGTTGCTCTATTGTTCTGACACAAAGAGCTTTTGTTTAATAACAATAGGGCAACCATTACACGTCAGAATTATTCAAGATGGCGACGGCCGCAAAATTTGAAAACAAAAATAGGCGAATCTAAAAGTTATTTCTTTCGGATACAAACGCTTTCTTTAAAAATATCTTAGATTGACTTGACTGTAACAGTTATTTCCTGTGATTTAAAGTAATCTTTTGGTTGAAGTGGAGGTTCCCTTTAACTACAAGCTTTCTTTCTTTCCATTTACCCTTTATTTTTCATCTTTCACAAAAGCTAAGGGCGAAGGTTTTCAATATTTCGAGTTCATCTTCATCGTTGTCGCTGTCAGAAGTGATGTCAATATCTTCTCCTTTTATTTCGTGTAATTAATCGCGTTAATTTCCTTTATTATGAAATTCTACCTCCTCCTTCGCGTTAATTTTCTTTATTCGAAAGTCGTTCGCCATTAAATTCGCGTTAATTTGAGTCGCGTTAATTTCCAATACCTTAATTTCATGGATCCTTAATTTCCTATAATAAGGTATATAGATATGTACAAAAGGTGTAGGGACTATACGACTACGGTTTAGTTTTTTTTTTTTTTTTCAAATCAACCATCACAATTTTGTAGGCATTACAACACCCATAAAATCTCAGCTTTTTGTGCCAGTCACCCAGAAACAATTGCGGTTTATATTTTGGTTCTAGTTCCTTTCGCATTTCTAAAGTAGCGAGTGGAAGTGATATCATTGCTGTGACACGTCTCGTCAGTAAACGTACCATAATTATAACGTTGCAGGAAAGTAACACTTTGCAACACAACTAGTTCTGCCAGTTTTATTTTTTTTCGATATATTAACTTACCAGCTAATTAACTAAAGTTATCTTCAACAAGTTCTTGAAAGGCGACGTTTCTTTTTTTGTCAAACTTAAACATATATGCCAAGAAAAAAAGACGAAAAAACATATATGTACAAAAGGTGTAAATATAATAAACAATTGCGGTAAAATAAATTTTTGACAACAAAGAGCCAATATAAATATCAAAAGCGAAAATCCCTATGTGGATCTTTATATGTTTCTGGGAAACTGCCCACCTACCCCTCCCCTAAGCCAACGTTAACCCTATTTTATCTTTGTACAGTCTAAAACAGAGCTCTAAAATGGCGGGTAATATTTTTTTGGCCTCGGTGTTTGGAGACAGACGTTATCTACCTTTAAATCATGAACTCACCAGACGTCTCTATACATGAAATCAGTGAAAATTGTTAATAAATGCTACATGTACATGAGGGTGTGCTGAAGCAGAAACAGTTTCTGTTTTTGTCCGTAGACTCGATTATGTCTAAAAATGAAAGGTTTAAGCGTAGGTCCAGTACGACAAGATGCATTTTAGGACAACAGTATTTGATATCAAGAAACGCTTTTTAAACAGTCGAAGCCCAGAGAAAAACAACAAAGCCAGACTGGTTATCTGGATGATTTCCTTTGGTAAACAAGGACAATAACTGCCCAGGTTATTCTCTACTTTTTTGCGAAGAACTAACTCTTTTTTAATACTCTTGTTCGTACAGTTCCACATTTCTCTTCTCTTCCTTACCGTCAACAGTTGCTTAACTTTAATTTAAAGTGTAACCACGCAACAAAAACGCGCTATTTATTAAGTATTCCAATGTGAAAGTACGATAAACGATTATTTGGTTAAGAGCTGTGTGGCCTCTGGAGCTTAATGCTCCTTTCGCACGGCAACCAGTTTCTCCAGAATGCCTTTTCATGGCTCTGCCTCATCGCTGTCGCACGGTAGGACATTCCAGCCGCGAATAGCGTCACCCTGGAGGTCCATGCCTCTGTCCTTGAAAAATGTATTCTTTATACAACCCCTAAAACCAGTATTAAACTTCCCATGTGTCATTTTTGCGATATTTTCACCCCCCCTATTGGAAATAAGAGGAAAAACATTAAGATAATATAGGCTATAGTTCGAATTATCTCCTGTTCATATGAAAAAAAAATCTTCTACATTATTAAACATCCTGAACACTGATAAAGGAGGTAGACTTTTAGATAATACTAACGGACCATCCACACCCAGTCTGCTTGCTAGCTTAATAGGTAAGAGCACTGCACCGGTATCGCAGAGGTCAGGGGTCGAATACGGGCATTCAGGCTTTCTTTTTACAACTGAGTTGTGTATTGATGATCTTGTCTGCATTTGTTTCTTCTTCCCGCAGTTCAAATATATGAAATCCAGATATTTCGGACTGCCCATTCTGATCGTAGGGATGACTGATAAGATAAGGATATACAATGCACTTACCTATAAATATGCTATGACCTTGGTTAATATTCAGCCCTTTGCTTCCCTCAGCCGAGGTGCCATTTACATGATCATGATTATCAACTTTAAGGGAACCCTCACTGAAACTCCTACAAAATTAAACGACAAACGTCACTAGTCTAATAATTAAAATATCGGAGGGATGACATCACGCAGTCAGTGCTGCTTCATATTATATAGAAGCCGAAATCAATAATTGATTAAATTTTTTTTCATGGTTGACAGTCGGGGGGTTTATTCTCGGGCCCTTCCTTGTTCCTCAAATGTAACGCATCTAGAATACGGAGATCTAGGAACTATTATTTCAAGATTGTAGTTGAAAAAGTTTGTTACCTGTAAACCTTGATGGAGTGCCATTGGCTGTCGTTGACTGGAGACAGAGATTGTAGTACAGCGGGCCCAGAGCCGAGTTCAAATCTAAGAAAGACGTAACTGATTTGCTAACATGATTTTAAAGTATTCTCAGGGTAGGGACCGATAAATTTAGTTCCTGGTTATTTGCAGTAGCGGATCCGGGGAGGGGCCCGGGGGTCTGTTCCCTTATTTTTTTTTTATGTAGATCAGTGATCAAGGATTAATGTGTAACAAATTTAACCGAGGATGTGCTTCAGTCAATTTCATAGTTAACTACGTTTAAGCAGTGTTTTTGCCCAAATTCTCCGCAAAATCATCAATATGAGAAAAAAGACGCAAAGACGCAAAGCAATACAATTTTTTAGCCTCGGTTGACGTGCGTCACTCAAAAATGCTTTTGCTTAAACTCCCTATTATTTTATCGCCCCCGGATGTTAAGTGGGTTATGTGATCCATCAGTACATTTATGTGGCGAAATATACTCTTTTAATACGTGTATATTGTCTATGTTTTTTAGTGCGCATGCATTACATATTTCAGAGGCCATTTTAGCGACATTCAGATGCGTCAGAGTCTCGTATGCGACGAGCTCCCATTAGCCACCCCTAACTTTTGGCATTTTTGGTGGTCACGTACATGTATGGGTGTTTTTACTCTGAAAGCAAAGAATACCAAAGTTTAGAAAGAGACCAGTTGTTGGGCCGTCAAGAGTCCTAAAATAATTACCTGAACTCCAGAAATCCGTCTCTTAATCCGATTGCAAAGTGGTCTCTTCTCTGGAAGGAACAAGAAGAAAAATTTTTCATAGGGACACCGAATTGATCCAGGTGAGAACATGAGGTATCTATTTGTTGCTTGATGCCTTACAGATCAAGGGAACTGTTCGTAATGCAAGGGGCCTGTGTGTGTGAAATATACACGAACGTGTTGGCAAAGAGATACGGAAGTGTTTTGGAAAAAGGTTTTGTTCTTACAATCTTTTAATAACTAAGAAAAAGGTCAGAACTGAATGTGGCAAAGTAGATGGATGTCTTTTCTGGTCATCGGATTATCAGGCATGAGTTATAAACAATCTCTGTTGGCCGAACTCATTACAACACTCTAATTTACCTCTCCTTGCCATAGGATTACACCATTTTGAGCTTCTGTTTTTATCTCAAGTGACATATAGTCAGGTGTTGTCGATCTGTAAAAAAAAATGGACGCATGCATGCTCAAAGCCGTAAACATTGCACTGTGGATTATAAGGTATTTCGGCTATAAAATACCAGGATGGAAATAACTTGGGCGCTCATTTTCTATTATGACAGTCGTAAAACTCTCCTGATGCTGAGAAATGTTATCTCAGAAGGTTCACTGAACACCAAAGAAAAAACCTCACCTCGGTCCTCGCATGCTCGATGATGGGAATTCCAAGAAACTGTCACCACTGAACAAGGCATTTTTTCCAAACTGGACAGCTACAACGAAACAGCCAATCAGCAAGAGTCACTGGAATCGACTCAACTATACATTGCCTCATGCAAGCTATTTTAAAGAACTTTGCACCGAAAAGGTTAAAATAAACCCAACAGCAGAAGTTTGTAAACTAAGGTTTCTTTAGTACATAAAATCTATTGCCAGTGTGCATGTTTTTTTTTTTGTAGGGGTTGTCGTCAAAGAATTCTACTGCAACTATGAAAACTTACACTTATGTAGTTTAGACAGCGTGACACCCGATAGATTTCACTGTTCTAAACGTGTGGCCTCTTAAACGTCCCCAATAAATTAGAGAAAACTTTTCAGCTCGAAGTAGACTTGTGAAGAAAACCAACAACAAAGTCAATCCACTTTGTGGCGCTAGAATCGAACCCAGCCTATATCAGTGGAAGGCGTTAACTCTTACCATTTGCACCACCGGTAGTTCCCCTTCCGGTTTTAAAAGGCCACCAAGACTTCCAAGACGTGTGGCCTCCGGGTTATAGTAAGAAGCACTTTACCCATGCTGACGGCTCCAGCATGGGGAGGTCAGCTGTATCCGCACACAAAGACTATGTGCCTTAAGTTCTCTTACATTGAAAAGTTTATACTGCGACAACATCAGTAATTGACAGATTTAAAAATATATCCGACGCATTTGGAAGCTATTTCATAAGGCAAAACTTCTGAAAGTACTTACTTTTATTACACCCTCTGCCTCCATATCCGAGCGGGCAGTTGCATAACCTGTAACACAGTAAATCAACTTTTAGGCTCAGAATTTCTGAAGCTCTCTAGGTTTGCGAACTGCTTTTATCACGTCTTAAAATTAAGTATTGTTTGTATTCTAAGTATTCAAAGACTTTCTGTCTATTATAGTAAATATAGTCAACTCCCTTTATTTCGGACACCCTCCAACGAATTACTGTCCTTAATCGCGAGAGATCGTCATTTGAGGTCCGAGAAGAAATTTCTTTACAAATATATCACTATTTATATTTAGATTGACTATAGTACCAACCCTAACGCAGAAAATATTGGACAGACTAGCCAAACTTATCAATAGCAGAGACACCGGAGGGAATTAATAGCTACACCTCATTACAACAAGCTGCGGGTTGATTGTAGTGGAGTGCATTTTTCTTATGTTTGGGAAAATAAAAAATAAATAAATAAACGTAACCTGTCAGATGACGATAATTCAACTCCGCCATTTACACATGTGTTACTCTTCAAAGGATCGGCCAGTGTAAACTCACACTTTTGTCCAGTATATCCAGGAGCACAGGAACAGAAAAAGCCCGTTTTTCCAACCGGGATGCAAGTGGCATTATTCAAACATGGTCTTAATTCACAAGGCAAAAGGCATTCTGTGCATTGTTTGATACCGCGCATGTCAAGATTGGACTTGAGCAGGTTTATTTCCCTACCATCTACTGATAGTTCGGATATACAACCAAAGAGACCGGAGCTAACGCCAACTTTAGTAGTGTGGAATGTCGTGAAGTTTTTCACTCCGCCTATGAACAAGTCTAACAAAAGATTTAATCCACGTGAACAACACGGGGAGGAACCTTTCACTGGGGGATCGTCATCCAGAACCAGCAAGCTGTCTCTCAGTTGTCTTTCTATTATTACAGTGTGCCAGAATCCTACGGAAATGTTTCTGGCGCTGCGTAAAATACCAGTACCACTTCCCATATTGAACCTGAACTCAACTCGCCCTCCGTGAATGGCAAGGGAAATGAAGTCACCGCGACCAGGGAATATCGTCTGACCATTGTACAGTAGAAGCATATTGCCTGATTTAAGTGCGAGAAATCTGACGGAGAACCTTAGCTGTAGAACTGCGCCTTCGATTCCTGGTAATGACATGTATGAGTCGCCCTCGAACATAGGAGTGTCTATTGGCCTTCCTACAGGATGAATACCGTAATAAGTTTCCTTTTTAGTACACCAAATGACATAAAAAACCCAGAAGTCCAAGAGACGTTTCTTTAACGAAGTACCCTTCACTTGATTTCTACCATACACCTCACTCTGGGGCCGTTCAAGTGACAGAGGCGTTTTATAGCGACATTCTTCGGTCTGGTATTTCAAGTAGCAGCTACTATATAACCAGACCTTCAAGTAATTGGGGGCGCTGCTTATTCAAACCCTTCAAAGAGGGAGGGGGCACCATCGAAAATGACCTTAAAATGAGGCCCTGGCAAGCTATCATCCCGAGCTCCCTCCTCCCTCGATCCGGCACTTTTAACATATAAATCACTGGGCAAAAAAATGAATTTGCACCAACATGATAATTGCAAATATATAGCAAATTTGTGAAAACTGGAGGAGTAAATATAAATAGGAAGGTAAATGTCATTTGCATGCCAAAAAACAGGGGAGGGGGGGGGGAGGGGGGTGAAAATCCATTTTATTTTGCCCAGTGAATCAAACAATATATTACGGTCTTTCGCCCATACCAACTGATGCAAACCAGTTAAAAAGTATTTAATGCATCCTATTCAAACAGGAAAAAAATTGGAATTATACCAAAGCTCATGTTTTGACATGAGATCGTAAAGGACTCAGGGGCCTTTGGTTAACAACAAACCTTCCTCACACCTCTCCCCAGAGTAACCAGCAGGACAGATGCATCTAAAACCATCATTGCCGATATTTTCACAACGCCCCTCATTGCAAACGCCAGGTGAACACTTGTAACCAGCGTCATCACAGGTCCTTCCCGAGTAACCAGGCCTGCAAGTACAAATAAATCCCCAGTCTCCAGCGACCTCTGTGCACGTGCCGCCGTTCTTGCAAGGCCTTGTTTGACAGACTTCACAATCATCCAAACCCACGCTTTTAATAGGATCACCTGAAATTTGTTTAAAGAGGTATTCAAAGGGTTATGTCACGCTATTTTCTATTTTTTAAAAAGCTATAAAGTGTCTTCGTATCAATTGAATTCCAAAAATAGTTTTCCATTTTTTTTTTTCACAAATCATGTAACAAATCATCATGGTTAGTGTTCCCTGATGAAATTTCTTTGAACTCTTCTTCATTATTTTACAGAAGCATTTTGTGTATGGGTAAAGACCTTCAGTAATGACATCAGCACAGAGTTGACATAAAACAATAATATCCTTGTGACAAAATCCATTTAAGTATTGTGCTTTGGCAAGAGAAGGAAGAAGATAAAATCTAATCATAAAATTAGGTAATTAAGCTACACCGAAAGGCTACAAAAATAGCTTCCTCGTGAAACAGGCCCTATTCTCATTCAAGTTCGTCAATACTGCCCTTGACAAGCGCATACACTTCCAATAAGAGCTGGCTCCTTTAGAAGTCGAAGAAACAGAAAGAAACATGCTCATGTTCTATAGACATGACTCAATCTAGTAATGTCAATTAGACGATGGTGAATCATTTCCACTTTTGGAACGCGTTTAAAAAAATTAGCGTATAGACAGTTCAAAGAGTTCAAATAAAAGGGTTAGTTTCCAGAACTTTAGTGTTGCGTCGGTAAGAGAAAGAAATGGTGGTTTTGGTCCAATCATTTGCTAAAGACAATAAACCTCCAGAACAGAAACCAAAAGCAGACTTTCAAGATGTGTTCATCAACTCAGCTGGTAAAACCGAATTGAAGAATTTGTATGAATTGTTTTCCCTTGTCAAGAAAGCACCCTTACTCTCCCCTCGGACACTCTGTTCGTTTCTTCGACTCCTGAACAAAATTAAAATCAGGGGCACCCAATGGATCTGTTCCCCAAAATATCTGTTCCTCAGGCCAAGTTTTGCTGGCTCGGAAATTTGGAAAAATTAATATGTCCTTGGAAGGAAAGTGTTGCTGGGCAATACACAATTCAGGATGTCAGAGGGGATTTGGTGTATACAATAGCTTGTATATTCTATTTGTTTATCTCTCCTTCCTCATTGAAGGGGTGAATGTCTCCCATAGGCCACTCCCAATTGCCTATGGACGTCAGGTTGCAGGTTTTAGGTGCACTTTGCTGGCTGGGAACTCTTCCATCAGTCTTACTGGGAGTGAGGAACAGATAATTTTTTCCAAGCGATCTCCCAAAATGCTTAAAATGCCTTCAGAAAGCTTTATTTATACTTTGTTGTTGTTTTTAACGTCTTTTTTCAAATTCCCCGTTGGGTGCCTCTGTCAAATCTCCTCGAAAACTAGTTTCCAGAAATTTGAACTTTAAAAACCTTTATCCAACTACCATTCGTTTTGTCCCTACGAAAATTTCTCAAAATAATCAAAGGAGACAATACATGTACCTGTTTTTCTGTTTTTCAGGTCCCTATTTTAGATACCAACCATTTTTGTAATGGAATGTAAAAGAAACAATTACATTCTTACCAAAATTTACAACTTTTCCGTCGATAGCCAAGTAGCTTAAACAGCCAATAAATCCTGACTTGAATCCCGCCAAAGAGCTTATTGATGAGAAATCAAGGACTCCTCCCACGTGCAAATCCTGATTCAAATTCAGACCTGTACTACTCCCCTTAGAAATTCCTGTTACAGGTGGCTCCCCATCTACGGTGAGATTTCCTTCCTTCCTGTTACGTGATAAGACGACTCTGTGCCACTCATACAGGCTCAATGGTTGCCGGCTTCGAATGATTGCAGGCTCAAAGCCAAGGTTGAATCTAAATACGGATAAGTTCTCTTCAATTTTGACCTTGGTTTATATTTAATTTAGTTTGTTTCAGACTCTTTTCTTACGTTACCATACCCACCAAAAAAGAAAAAAAATATCAACCAAGAATGAAACTGGATTATAACATGTGCATCACAGTTAGGTTAAAATCAAGACGACATGCACAGCCACTACGACGTGGATATAGCCCATTTCGAAAAAAAAACATCGTAATAGGAGATATTCGAGTATACTTTGTTAGACTAGGACAACGGAGCACAGAGTATATGTGGGAAGCTTGCGCTGAAGCGGAGTCTTTTTTCTTCAATCTGTGCTCACGGAAAATGGCTACACGTTTATATTACACTTGTAATAATTGACCATAGGATTATAAGTCCAACCAACACACAATCTACAAGTAAACTACCTCATCTTATAATGGTGTGTTCGTGCTAAGTATGTTGTTACATATGACGTGATGCAGTTCTTGGAATAAGTCAATGGAAAAGTCAGAGTGCATGAAGTTTAAGTTCCAAACCGGAACTTAAAGTGTTGTATTAAATGGAAGCTCCGTTTTAAGGCTTGGCTAAATGTATGCAATATGACTGCAGCCAAGATGGAATATGATAGACTTGGTTAGCAATACCGTAGTTTGGTTACCTTGCTGTTTCAGGGTTTTACAGTAACAAAATAAGTTCAGGTCCTATTTTTGCATTAGTTTTCAAATGACCTCGAAAAAAGATTTGTGAGTAACCAAAGGCTTTATGGAAAAAATAGCTTGCGAGGGGAGACTCCTGCTAGAGCTAAGCCTCACAGGACTACTGGCGGGGATCAAGAAGAATGCTCTTCGTCCCTGTTTGTGAATACAACCCCATTACCTAAATTCAGCAAATCTGTCTGACATTCCAAATGAAATGAAGTCTCCAACAGAGCCATTTGTTAGCTGATCGTTGTACAGAATCAGCCCATCCGCCATCTCCGGTATGAACACAATTTCAACCGTGAAATTAAGTGGCTCGTCTGTTAGTGTCTGTACACTGAGGCAGGACAGAGGTTCCTGTGTAAATCGTGGAACGGTCACTAAGAACAGATATAGAAAAGGTACAGATACAAATGGTTGGTGACCATTTTTAAGTTATGGTTAGAGTAAATATCATAACAAAGGTTCCTTCTTGTCATTGACGCGAAGTGTGCTTAGCAGAAACTCCCCAAACTAACCCTCATCATGACCGCAAGAACATTCGTAGCTTTTCGCGCTGGAATTGCATCAGGAAAAATGTATGGAAGGAAAGGGACTGTAAAATTTTTGCTCCAAAATTCGTCAAAATCAAGACATGAAACAAGGAGGGAGGTTAAAGTAAAATTACTTCCAAAGAGCCGACCCTTTGATACCTTACCTTTAATTTCTAAAATTCCACTTCTATTAGCCGATCCTTCAACATTTTTGGCTTCACAATTGTAACTCCCAGCATCCTTTTGAGTCACATTGGCAATCTTCAGAACTCCTCTTTGCACTGTACTGCTGACTGGAAGCGATCCGTTAACTTTCCGCCATGTTAGGTCTGGTGACGGGGAGCCGCTAGCGATGCAAGTGAATTGCACGGTCTCACCAGTTTTCACACGTGAACGCTGTGGAGTAACCATGACCTTGGGAGCCTCTAAGAGTCAATAGAGTACAGCCTTGCCATTCGAGTTAATAACACAATGTTTAATAGTAACATCGTCAATAAAACTGCATGATCTTCGCAGATGGATATTAGTTGTAACCGTAGGGTTGGGGTGGTTGGGTGGTAGTACCAAAAAATCTAATCGGATAGGGTCATTTTGGTTTACCGCAGTAACATTTAAAGCAGGCTTATGTTTTCACGCCTTCCTCACTTGGTCTGACACGAGGACACGCAATCGCCAGCTTTCGCTATTTTATCTTGTCTTATTATCTTGGCTTATCAACTCGGTTGACAAACCAGTGAGCCATTCCTATTCCCCACAAATGTGGATGTCTTTGCAATCGACGGTCAAATATTTCAAGCGTTTTTTTAGCTTTACTTGCATTAGCTTTAATTTCTTTTGCAGACCAGTAAACGTGAAAGGTAACAGCAGAAAAGAACAAACAGCAAACACCAACCTTGCACAAAGATGGCTACTTCAGATTGCACAGAGCCCACTCTGTTAGTGACTTTGCACCTATATACACCACCATAGGCAAGCCGCGCGTGCGGAAAAATAAGCTGTCCTCCTTTTGAAATGAGTCCCTCGGGCAACAGACCGTCGACGCGGGTCCATTGTATTTCTGGTTGTGGGGCTCCATTCGCGATGCATTCTAAAGTCAAATTCTTTCCTACTGAAACTGTTTTGACGGAGGCTCCACCTGTTATAACCACACTGGGTAGATCTGAAAAGGATATGATTACATGGCTACTCATACGAATGATTTAATGATAGTAATAATGATAATGATTATGATACTGATACGATGACAAAAACGATAAAGATAACAATAGTAATAATTACAGCAGCAACAACAATAATAATAATAATAATGATAATGATAACAATAACAATTGGATAAACTCAAGGGTATAGCATAATATAATTACAGTAAAATGAATTGGCTCGACATTTGAAAAAGATTTGTGGACATTAATTTTTGGTTATGATATAATTAAACACTGTACTTTTAGAATATGGGGTCGTGAACCGGACCAATGAACTTAGGCATGATAAAGGGAAATAAGCATAAAAAGGGGATGGAGATGAACAGAAAGTGACTTCTTTTTCTTCAAAGCGAAGCTCTAACAAACCTTCGACAGTGAGTTCTATAGATGTTGTAGAAGTTCCAGCAGCATTTTTTGCTGTGCAGATGTATCGACCATTATCGTCACCGATAACTCCTGTAAGACTCAAGACACCAGCTGAGTGTCGTACGGGAATGTCGCTTCCCTCTTTTGACCAGGAGATCACCGGGTCGGGTATGCCAGTCGCGTTGCAGTGAAATGTAACATTGGATTTATGCGCTGCTTCAAAAGATCTAGGCCAGGCCACCACTTTTGGTGCAGCTGAGATATCAGAACGAAAGTCAGTCAAAAAGCCAGGACAAATTGAACATGGGATGAAACTGAAAATTGACTAGCGTGTTGGTTAGCACTGATTTCCCAAATATAAGTTGATAAATAATGAAGATAATCGATATGCAAAGAGCAACAAGACTCGAACGTATGTTTCAAAGACACTTTCACTGCCATCACAAAAAAACATCATTTGTAGTACAATATAGAATTTATAGTACAACATAGAGTGTTTCTTTCTAAATAAAAGGGAAAAATGATAAATGGGAGTCATTGAGAGAGAAGAAGAAGGGATGAAAGGCCTTTTTTAAATTTGCGTTTTTACAATTAAAACTTTTATTACCTTAACTCTTGAGGTATGCACTTTTTTATATATACTGCGATATTTTTTTAAATTAACGGCCCCTAAAGGTTCCTACCATACACGACGACGCTTGCAAAGCCTTCACTGGAGCCCGCTGAATTGTTAGCATAACAGCGGTATGTTCCTGCGTGTTTCAGTTTTGCCTCACTGACATTTAAGGTCCCCTTGTCGCTCACGATGCCGTTTGGGAAACTAACATTGAGTTTTGACCACGTGATTGCAAGCGATGGCCTAACAATGCAAAAGATGTTAAAGGAGGTTCCTTGATTGACGGAGATCTCGGAGGGAGTCACGTCGATTAGAGGAGGCACTAGTTGAAAAAAGAAAGAAACAGGTAGGGTTCGGGTTGTTTATCACTTAAATGTAGACATAGGTCAGTTCACTATTTGCGAGTTTTATGGTAAAAAAAATTCATAATTCTGCCTTGGTGAGAAGACACAATAAAAGGGGTTCGAGGCTTGGTATGACAACTTAATACAACTCACTACATTTTGTCTCCTTGATCCTTCAGATGTTGCGTTTAAGTTTATGCTCATAGGAGGAATCAAGTTTGGGGAAGAAAGGAAACACAAATTTCAGTCTTGAATATTCAATCACATGGCTACCTTTTTAAATTTGTCGTTTCTCCTAAAAGTTCCTAAAGGTGGCGTTCCATTTTTTCACTGTTTTCGAAACCTTTGGAAAATGTTAAAAACCTCGAGTTCAAAAAACAGCATTACTTGGAATCGTTGATAGTAATAATTACGTTGAAAAGATCTGATGGGAGAGGTGTATAACAGGGTAGTAGCAGTCTAAGCTCTTTTATCTTTTGACGGACGTACGATATGCCTCAAGCGGACAGCTTCACTTACGGCCACCTTAACAAATCTTCCCATTAGGAACTTCACTACAAAAGCATGATTTGTTACCGGCCAGCTCCCAATGAATTACTTTTTTGCTTGCCCATGGTGTCTGCCTAAGGGAAATTTGACTGTATTTGACAGTTTGTAGTACAGAAACGGGTAAGACATGTGCCATTTCTTATTTAAAAAGGGCTTTTTTGAAATATCGTATAGTTTGAACTGTTACCAAGTGAAAGCGTGGGAAAGTCCCTTAGTTATTAATCAAAGCGCTTCTTCACATTAAAGCATATGAAGAAGGAACAATTTTTATGGAAGGCTCAGAAACAGGATGCCTTATTGGTCAAAGTGGTACATAAAGAAATGGCCTTTACACCTCCAGTTGACGGCATCGTTGAACTTCGCCAGGATAAAATGTGTAACTCGATTATATGCCTCTACGAAATGATACACGATCAACGATACACGATCAATGGTAATTGACGTTAAAATTTGTTTCACTTTGAAATTTGTGGGAGAGGTATCTTACTGTTGAGCTACAAGAAATAAAACCTTTGAAACCTTTGAATGTCTCTAACTTGGATTCTAAATGTGATTTTTCTCAGTAATAAATTTTGATTAGCCTGGATTCGAGAAACTTTATCCTCTCTTTTCTTGGGTTCAATTTTTTTCCTTAATCGTACCTATCACTTCCAACTTGATACTAAAACTGTCCTGCCCTTCACTATTAACTGCTTTACAGGAGTACGTCCCAGCATCTTCTGCACCGACAGACGGGATCATCAGTATTCCATCTCTATCAAGGGCGTCATTGGGTAAATTAGAACCCAGTCTTTCCCAGACAATGGTCGGAGCTGGTAAGCCAGATGCATTGCACCGAACCTCCACGTCTTCTCCTTCGATGACAGTTTTTAAAACAGAATTTAAGAGGATCTCTGGTGGTTGTAGTGGAACAGTTACTAGAAGGAATCACAATAACCTCAGGTCATATTTCGTCAATGGAGAAAAACAAAACATAAATTTACTTCAACTTTTGTATCACTCACTAGTTTTGTTCTAAGCTGAATAAGTGTGAAAAAGTTTCCACACATACGCCACATGCTTAAAATATCATGTCATACAATCCTCCTTGAGAACAAGTTTGGCCTAAAATTAAAGCTTCCTTTAATTAAAGCAAGGACAATAGCAAAAAGTTCCTCTAAATTAATGTAAAATGACAGACATCCTGACACAGCTTAGCATGAAAAAACTGCCGACATCTCGCCACGCCACCAATGGTTTTCCTGGAAATGACGTCTGATGAACGAGTGAAGAAATTTTATACTAATGACGTTTTACTACTCTGACCTGGGTAGTGATTTTGGTTGGCACTCTCCAGATCTGGGTAGTGACACATCATTAGTATGAAATTTCTTCGCCCGTTCCTTAGATGTATTCTCCGTTGATGGCGTCTCGAAATGTCAGCTGTTTTGTCAGGCTAGACACAGACACTCCTCGACAATAAGGAATCTTTAATGTCAACATTGGATGATAAGATTTAAAAAAATGAGGAAACAGTGGTTGCAATTTCGCAAGAAAACCTAAGAAAAACAAATAAAACCTTGTTATTCTATGATAACCAGTTCCGGTTCATGATATGATGGAAAGCAAAAGAGGAAATGATTTGTTTACGATCGTTTACATTTCGGATGTCTGAGAAGGACATTTAGCGAGTCCCTAATTTCTCAGTACCTTGCTGCCATTACACTGCATAAGGAATATACCTGTTAACTGCACACTTTCCTGAGTCAATCCTACAATATTCTCTGCCTGGCAGGTAAAGTTCCCCTGGTCTTCCGGTCTGACATTTTCAATAATCAACTTCAACACCCCACGATTGGTTTCCCTTATTTGCAGATTAGACCGAGGATGCCCTTCAATAATCCATTGGACTACTGGAGGAGGACTCCCTGCAGCTGTACATTCCAGCGTGACCGAGCTTCCACCTGTCACGGAGACTGGACTGGAAGGGTTTACTATCAACTGGGGTTCACCTGTGTAACAATTAAGCAAACCATACCGTAATTGTGCAGTCACTACCTTCAAGATGCCATAAAATAAGCTTTATCACTGGCACATGAATACAGGTTTCAAAAAGGAAGAAACGAGATACTTTCTTGTTGAAAAGTCTCGCCATTTCAGCACTGGTCAAGATATTCGTTGTTTGTCCCCTTAAAACTCTTAATTATAAGTATTGTTTTCATTTCTCCTTGGGTAATGTAGTCATTGCTTACTCGTGCTGTTGTAAGTGAAGTAAAGATAAGGATCTGGCTAAAAACGACAACTGGCCATTACTTTCCTCGTGAAGTTTGTCTTCAGGAATTCATAGTAATAAAAGACGGACAAGAAAAAAAGAAACGAACACACAAGAAGAGTTTTGGATGTTTTGGGTGGTGGTTCTTGAAAAGGGTTGTCAGAAACAAGATAGGTATTTGTAGAGTAGTTGCCCTTGGCTTGTGTTAGATTAAAATTTACCTTGAACAATAAGCAAAGCCGCTGCTTCAGTTGACCCTAGGATATTTGTCGCCTTACAAATATATCTGCCTCCACTGTCACCGGACGCGCGAGAGATCACTAAGACGCCGTTGTCACTGCTGTTCAGCGTTTTATTTTGCTCCCTTTCCCAGACCACCGCTACGCATCTGAATGTTACACTCTCTCCACCTGTGACTGTCAGCTTTCTCGCTGGCATGATTTCTATTTATACTGAGAATAAAATGCAATGGCATGTAAAGCGAAAAACACAACACCATTTTCTTTCTTTGGAATCTCCAAACTCAAGGTGACAAGCAGTTGACATTTGGGTAAAAGTGGAACCAAAATAATTACCATGGCGTGTGAAGGTATTTTAACGCTGTGTCCTATATTGTTTCTTCGTCCTGGCAAATCACAACAACAAAAAGGACAACTAAGTTAAGTGGAAACGACGTAAACCGACGTAAATTTCTTGCGTTTGCTAAGGCTTTTGAGGATTTAGTGAAGTCGTTTTATTTCCTAAAAGGAAGCTGATTTATCATGATGTGTCTCGTAAGCAGTGGCAATTTAAGTCTCTGAGTGAAGAAATATTAAAACCGAAAACAATCGTCTTTCAGTCCCGGACACGCCTTAGCCATGAGAAGGCGATTCTTAACTTAATTCGGTTGCCGGCGGTCACAGTCTTTTCATGCACTGTTAACCGGCTAGTGATCAGAAGCGTTAAGTTCTAAAAAGCATTTTCAAGAGCTCTTTTGATAACCTGGGCAAAATCAACTTACGCACCTGTTACATGAATTTTTTCCCTGGTTATTCCTACGATGTTCTGGGCCTGACAAGTGTAATTACCCTGGTTCGATGAAGTGATGTTTTTTACAATTAGTTTCAGCACCCCAGGGCCGCTTTCCATCAGTTGTAGATTGGAATGTCCCTGGGGTATCCACTGAACCACCGGAGGGGGATCCCCCACGGCTGCGCATTCTAGTGTGACCGAAGAACCAGCTGTCACGGAGATCGAATTAGAAGGGCTGACCATTATCTTGGGTTCAGCTGTGAAAGGAAAGCACAAGGGGACAGATACAGTGTGAAATTATAAACCAGTTCAGGAATCAAACGTTTTTTTCCACACATCACACAGAACCTAGCTGAAAAATAACAGGGAACGTGGTGCAACACAGCTAGAATAGAGTATCATGAATATCGCCAAACTTTGCTCCTCTCTCCTCTTGGCAACGTGGCACAAACGGACAGCCTAAACCATAGACAAAAAGCAGTATATGTATCCCAATTTTATATTTGGCATCTTACATTCTCTTTGGTTTCTATGAATTTCATTTCTTTTTCACCATTCTTCATGGCCAAAAATTCAAGCTCTGTTACGCGCGTGATAATTTACAAACCAAATACAACGGCTCAAGGCTTATATTTTAAAGAGTGTATACATTTATTTCTGCCATAGCTTGCGCTAGGGTGGAAACATTCTACAGGTCCTAATGGCGCTTAAATGTTAAGAAAGGAGCTTATTTTTTTTTTAATTGAATTGATGGTACCTTATTAAATTCATTAGCGAGAACGGATGTAGCACCTTTATCTCTTCAGCCGTAGCTCTTTCATTCGCCACTTGTTAAGTGGAGAATGGATATAAATAACACAATCTGTATGATACCTTGAACAGTAAGAAAGGCAATGGCTTCAGATGTCCCTAGATTATTCGTAGCTCTACAAATGTATTTTCCCTGACTGTCGCCAGTGGCAGCAGAGATCACTAAGGCGCCGTCTTTACTGCTGTTCAGTGGTTTATTCCCTTCTCGTTCCCAGATCAATGACGGTGATGGATTACCAGCTCTCACCACGCATCTTAAAATAACTGATTCTCCTGTGGCAATTGTGAGGTTCGTGGTTGGTTTAATTTCTATTTCTGGTGGAACCTTTACTAAGGAGCAAAGAAAAAGCAAAGGTCAACCTTTGCTTATGGAAAATTACAAGGAGAGTTTTTGAATCACTGCATCACGCATTACTTGATCTCTAGGAATTGCTTTTGCATGAAATAGTCTACACAAGCGTCATGAGATCTGCCGAAACAACTTTGGATACATATACAACGCAAATATCAGTTACACTGATACATGTGGTTCAACCTATCCTTGTTTTCTGTTTAAAATTTTTCAATGTCATTCCCACACACTTCGAAAAGGAAAGCAAACCAGTTTAATTTTAAACCTCGGGTGGGATAGTGGGAAGTTTACCGTGCATTGACAAAATTTAAAGCAAAAGACCAAAAGCAAATGTTACCGGAATAACGCCACTTCACCTCCTGAGGAAAAGAGAGAATGAAAATCGAAGCGCACTGCATTATAAAGACGTATAACACACCCGTTTAGCCGTATTAGAATACAGACGTCAAAAAATAATACGGGTATGTGCCGCCCAAAGGGGTCGTGATTTTGAAGCTTCTGATTTAGAACGGGGTATCCATTTCAGAAGCGTTTTCTAGAACGGGGTATAATATTTCGAACGCACGAAAGCTCCACTTTTGTAAGCAGTCATTTGAAAGTATTCAAGGACAGATTGCTTTTAAAAATACGGTTCAATGCGTTAACAAGCAAACCGTTGTACTCTTGTTGCACCCTACTATGAACAAAGTATAAAAAATTGGCCCATTTCTAGAACGGGGTATCAATTTTAGGGGAAATTTTTTCTAGAACGGGGTGCCAATTTGGAGTCACGGGCGGCACATACCCACCCCAAAAATACCTAAGTGCCCCCCCCGGGCCGCACACATACCCCCAAAAAACAACAACAATAACAATAACAAATTAAATAACGTTGTGTGGCACCAAGTTATTTTACTTAATTTGTCAACAGAGTGGAAGAATTGGAAACATACTCATACTGACACCCGACATACTCACCTATCAACTGAATCGTTTCCAGAGTTTTCCCTACAATGTTTTGAGCATGACAAGTGTAATTTCCCTGATGTTCCGCAGTCACTTTTCTAATAACAAGTTTCAACATTCCGGGACCGTTCACCATCAGTTGAAAATTGGATTGGGAATTTCCCTGAGTTTTCTATTGAACCTCCGGAGGGGAATTCCCCACGACTGCGCATTCTAGAGTGACCGACCCCCCAGTTGTCATGGAAATGGAGTTGGGCGGGCTCAGCATTATCTTGGGTTCAGCTGTGTGATTAAATAAAAGTAAATTAAAACAAATTCAAAAGGTTTATAAGGGCTAAATGATTGCACACATCTTCCTTAAATTTAATGCTGGATCTGATTTTCTGCGGCTAGACAAACATTAGGTAACTCAACAACATTATTTTTCGTCACAAACAGGTTATGCAAAATGGCGGGGAAGTCGGAAAACAAGACATGTATAGAAAGTAAGAAAAACATGCTCCCAGGAATTGAACACCACCGGGTTATAATCTGGGTAATCCTTGTGGGTATTTGAATAACGAGGAAATTTCTTGCTGCCTTTGCTCCCCACCCCCTTTCCTAAGACGTCTAGGGTTACTTTTAGGGCCTGATTACATGGAGGTGGAAGACCGCAGGTAGGTGAGGTAACCCGCTTAGGTGGGGTAAACTGCCTGTCCATATAGTCTCATTTTAATTTGATCACGTTTACATCAGGCTATTTCACCTATCTAGGGTCCCCCACCTCTATGTAAACAGGCCCTTGATAACCTTATTGAGCGATACCTTTAGGCGACATACTAACATGTCTTTTGAGGAACATTTAAGCAGGAAGGAGGATTTAGTAAGATTTATTTTATAAGCGACGAACCCTTGAAAGATAGTCGCTACTGAACAGGTTGCAGCAAATTCCATAAATGACAGAACCGACAGGGAGGCCGGTATCTTACAGTGTAGCTTTCAATAACAGCTTTTCTCACTGTAATATTAAACTCCGACCCTGTTCGCCATTAGAGTTCCAGAAGCTCGGTGGTTAGAGCGTCCGAACTAGAACTCGGAGGGTCGTGAGTTCGATTCTCACCTGGAGCTCGGAAAATTGTTCTGAGCTTTCTGGTGTTTGAATTCTCGTTCTTCTTTAATTAACAGTCCAGATAAGAACGATAGCAACAATGGCAACGAACATGTTGGAATGCAAGAAAGGTGCTAACTTTTCTATTGTCGGTACTTACTTCTGATTGGCTTAAACAGCAAAAGTTAACAAAACTTCATAAAGCGGTACATATATTCATCCTTACTTTCAACCATCTTCCATATAACAAAATCGGGTCTCAGTTTGAATAACAAAGAAATCCTATGTGGGGAACATGTAAAATTGTAAACTTTTCTTGGCTATTGTTTTCAACTCTTGTGATTGGTCAAAATCTTTTAACACAAAAAAACACCCTTTCAAAGTGGAGTGTAAGTGCATTTTATTGCGTAAACGACCTTCATGTAGGTTTATGCATTCTCTGTGTAAAAATAAGAACATTGCTGTGTGGGGAAAGCACCATTGCCGCATAACAAAAGAAATTGCTATCCACCTCACCCGGATCATTACTTAATTACCTTGTACAGTAAGCAAGGCCACGGCCTCAGTTGACCCAATGATATTCGACGCCTTGCAGATATACATTCCTTCATTGTCAAAAGTTACAGGGGAGATCACCAATATGCCGTCGCTACTGCTGTTAAGCGGTTGGTTTGTGTCTCTTTCCCAGACTACAGCTGGAGGTGGATGACCCGCTTTGACCACGCATCTCAAAACCACTGCCTCTCCTGTTATGGCTGTGAGGTTGGGTGAAGGCATGATTTCTATCTCTGGTGGAACCTTCGCTGGGAGTCAAAATGAGAGCAAGGCTTTATAGATGGGCTTAAAATATCTCTAATGTTATGGTAAAGACCTTCTGCATTGCCCAACCGAACATTTGGAGTCCATCGCTAAAGAGAGTACGAGGGGAGTACGCTACAAACTTGCACAGGGGGAACTTCCACTTATAGGCCATTATAGGAAGTAGCCCTCCCTCCCTTCCCAGTGAACAACTGAGTGGTGCAAAAAGCAAGTTGGGTCGGTAAGTGTCCTTTTTGCATCACGAAAAAGCCGAAGAAAAAAATCCAGAGCCAAGTTTTAAATCTGTGCTGCAGGAAATCACAATCAAAACTCATAACACAGTTTGCCCGTTCGCCCCCACATAGCACGGGCAAGTTTTGGCGTGAAAGTCGATGAAGTGGCACAAAATTTCCAACCTCCTTACGGTTTCAACTCAAACACGATTAGTCAATTCTGATGAAAACATAACAGAAAAGCGGCTTATGGCACCATCCAAAAACTGCTCAGTAGCTTCCAACTCCATTTGAAAGGTCACAATACAGGACAAGCCTTGAGGTTTCAATCTAGGAAAGGGATCTACCAAGGACAACTGTGAAATTGAGTATTTAAAAACCTTAGACGCTCAAAAAATTTCAACACTGATTTTATGATTATCTTTTTTTAATGAGGTAAAGCCGTTAAGGCAACAAACCAACTACCAACGGTGAATCTAAAGCCTGCCACCGTAAGCAACGTGTTAAGGTATCTACACCTGAATGCAAAAGATAGGGTTTCACTTGATTTTTAGAGAGTTTATTTTTTAATTCTCTTTGTGCATGCATTTATAGTGTGGTTCTGATTTCCTTGTAAAAAATCCCACCATTTTCGACTTTCACCTTTCCCATAATACAGTAGGTTTTCTCACAATAGAAAGCGCATGGGTATTGCGTCAATTTCTCAGTAAGGGACGATTGACAGTCTCAATACTTATGCAAACATTTGTGGGAAAGAAAACCGCATTTTGGGGAATGGAAAGTTGCAAATAAGCTAACTCCAGTACATCGTACTCAAGTAGTCACGCGTGTAAGACACTCATGCCAAGTCACGTGTCGGTCCGCCACCGGTATTAACTTCCCTTTCATTTGGATATGATTCTTTTTAGTTACCGGCACCGTGATACTCAGTTCGGTCGACCGATGATGATGATCTCTTACATGCGCCTTTGGTGGAGAGAATGAATGCTAAGTTGGAAAGTATCTCGTTAAGTTGTATATTTCCTTTCAATTCAAAAGGAATCTATTTTCATTACTAGTATTAACAGTTTATTAGAACTTAATATGCTTTGTTAGTTTAGAAGTTCAAGTGAACAAGTAACACTTTCACAATGATTATTTCCTTTTGCCTTAATCGCAGATTAGACATCTAAAGGAAAAATTACCATTGTTCATGGTATAAATAGGTTTTCTGGAGTAATATTTTCGAGAAATGTTCCAGCATTTTATGGTTTTATGCTAGGGGTGAGGCGGATGTACAAATATATGAGTTATAAGCAACCCCAAAGTCAGGCTGAAAGGCAGGCGTGTCAACTGTCTACAAAAAGCGACTCTTCAGATTCCATTAAAAGGGTGTACTTATAAAAGATATAACAATCAGCGAGTATGGAGAATTCGTGCATGAAAGATGACATGGCCGCTTGCAATTTATGAGTTAGGCGGTTGGATGCTGTAGGCCAATAACATTTTAAAACGCTTATTCTGAATGTCATCAGTAAAAATTGCAGTTTTATCAAAAGAAATTATAGCCTACCCATCAAAGAACGAATGGTAAGAGTCCAGCTGGTATTTTTCCTTTTGGTACTTTTTTTCTTCAAATCTATTCATTCAGAGAGTTTTAAAGCAATGAAAACGAAACAAAGAAAATGGTAATCGAGAAATGCGGGGTGCTTACTTACGAGACAATGTGTAATAATGCACATTTTATTTGGATCCAGAAGTCAATTTGGCTGCATTGTGCTCATTTAACATGCCTCAAAATGTCTCAGGCATATAAATTTCGTCAACGAGTTTGCACTAGCGGTTACTATGCTGACAAACTACTTTTAGTAACGAGGGCGCTATGGCCTCATATGTATGGTAATATTTTACGAGCATACCTCTAAGTCTCTTAGCGATCACGCGCATGCGTTGTTTAACCCTTTCCTCCCAAAGTAACTCGTAAATTTCTCGTAATTTTCAAAACTCGTAAACTTTAAAAGTCAACAAGAATACTTCAATTACTGGCTTTAACTTTCGAGTGAAGAGAAAATATTACTGTGGTACAGTTGATGGGAAGCTACTGAGCAGTACGATACGGCAGTGCTGTCAGATTCTCTGGTTGTTTTCAACACTGCACTAAAAATCTAATCGGATTATGAACAAGAGCACTTCTGGGAGTGAAAGGGTTTAAGAGCCATTTTCTGAGAAAATCGAGAATCGCAAGACACTCGTCAAAAAATCGAATTTTTTATTATTTTGCCAAAACAACCCTTTTAGTGACCTAATTTAAGGAAAAATAGTTTTGGGTTCAAACGATTCATTTTAAAGGAGAAATTAAAAAAAGTTTGAAAAATCGATTTTATTCCTGTTTTTCGAACAAAACACGGCAGGATGCAATGGCAACTTCGAAAGAAGGGTGAACGCGTAAGAAAGATTCCCTGACACTGAAACTTCACCGAATTATTATTTTGTTCTTACTCTTGAAAACCTTAAAAGAAAATTTGAAAAACAATGTCTTATATTTTTATAATCGACAAATCTAAAGAGGTCATATTTGTGACGTTAGACATGCTAAAAAACAAAGGCCAACTTTGACTATTAAAAAAGGCCTCTGGTATATGCCGCTTGATCATAAAATCAATATAAAATGGAACCTTGGCTTTTGTACTAACTTACTGGAAAGTTTTAGCTCTGGAAATCAAATACCATCCTGACAACAAAGCAAGCGGTGAGAGCAATTGAATTGGGAAATTTATGCAAATTAGACGGCTTGCGGACGGTTGTCAAACTAAAAGAAAGGTTTTACATGAAAGGATTACTCACCATTGCTTGTAACACGTTTTTACGGCAAGGAAAGTTATTTCCAACTTCTGTTGCGTCGGTTTGAGTCACAAAATCCATAATTTTAAGCCAAAAGGTCCAAAAGACAAACGTACGTTTGCTCAGCGACTGCGCCAGAATCCGGCCGTGAATCGAAATAAAGTCATAACACGTCACTGCGGTCCTTTGGAAGCAAGAGTTGCAAGAGTTTTTACTTCAGTCAGGAGGCCAAAAGATTGAAAATTCATCGCAAACTAATGACTTCGATTTTGAAAACCTTTCATCACTTCAATCGTTCGTCGGCTGATAATAAACATCGCACAAGATCGTATGACCTTTGGCGTGTGACCGGAAATTGGTCACACGCTTAAGTCACGTTAGCATGCTGTCACGAATTTTAATACGATTTTTCACGTTTGCTTTCGACAAAAAATAGACTCATCGAAATAAAATCAGGCCTGCTTTATTTGCTTGTTTGTTTTTTAATTTCTTTTATAGCCTGCAGGACTTGTTCCCCATGCATCGCGCGTGTCTCGCACCCCCAGTCCGCTTCGCAGTGCTAGCATGAAAAGCGCAAAAAAACTGAAATTGACTCCTGTTCTGCAGTTGATTTCTTTTATAGACACCTTCTAGGCATTGACAGGCTGTGAAAAAAGTGTATTTTTTTGTTATTACTTTTTGAAGTGCTACATCATTTTCCTATAAATTTCAAACGTGACTGATAAAAGACTGTTTGGAACCCATGGATGGAGAAAAGCTGTGCCGGAGAGAAGGTCAACCTCCCAGCCGAGCCAACTTTTGCGAGCGTTTGTATGAGGAAAAAACTGACCACTTTGTCCGAGTCAACAGTGCTTGCGCATGCTGTCTTTGTCTAGCCTTGACCGTGTCGTCCCAGCTAGCTGGGCGAGCCAAAGTGAAGAAATATTAGCCGGGCTAGAAGGGTGAGGCCACCACTACCGCCTCAGTGGAGGGCTGACTTCCGGAAGCCCTCAACCCCGCCCACTACTGGTAGTAAGGCGTCTATCCGAACCAACCTTTTGTTTCTCATGTAAGGAAATGGAGGAAAAGTTGGCTCGCCCAGGGCAGCTTGAGAGGTGAGTAAACACCAGATAACCCCAATAATAAGCACAAACTTTGATTGTCAGTTAGATGTCCACTATTTTAAGTAAGCGACCTGGCATGTGATTGTCGCATCCATGCCCCCTTCCAGATCCCCTTTATTATCGGTAAGCGACCACCAAAAATGCAAAGACTTAATGGTCTTTAACGGGAGGTGGCCGTTTAGAAGAATCGGACCTCATGGGGTCTATTCCGAGAAGAGGTCCGGGCACATTCTATTAAATGGCGGTGTAACAAATTCCTGGCAAAATATTATCTTTTACCTCTTTTGAAAAATACAGCTTTTAAATCATGCTCAATTTAAAGAGGGATTCAGGTGAGTGAGATACAGAATAGTCTAGAATCACAACAGAATCTTCACTTTGTTGGCTACATCTACTAAGTTAGGATATGTGTAGTTCCCCGATGTCACTAAAGGTCTTCATATTTTCCAAGGAACATAGTGCACACAGCAAAAATAGAGAGCAGACAATGCGTCAACTGGTCGCTTATGGAAAACAATGAAGCGTGACGCCCAAAAAGTGGTCGCAGTCACTTACAGAAGGTCGTTTACTGGAGGTTCCAAGTATAAGGCTTTGAATGGGAAAATTTGGTCTTTTGGATTGGCGGTCGCACATGTAAGTTCGACTGTGTTAGGTCTATTAGAGTATGAGCCACCATCACCTCACTGTGAGTGACGAGAGCCAGGAACGTATAGTATACACTCCCTTAGGATGCACAGAATCGTTGTTTTGAGGTCCCGTTTAGCGAAATGGATCATTCAAGGCAGGTGCTGAAGTCCCATAGTGAAATTTATAAGGTTTATGGGGTTTTAGTGCAAGGCGAAACACAATACTTAGGGCCCTGTTGTTCAAACGTTGAACAACAGGAAATCACTATCAAGCGAATAAGAATAAGCAATTGCGTTATTGGATATAGATTTATCCAGGGGAAAGCGTTAGTCCCGGGGGCGTTAGTCAACTTTTCGAAGATACAGCCCCTAAGTTACTCTCCTCCGAAGACTTACCCTGGGCGACCAGGATAGGGGAATATAATACTCGACCTTCCTTGCATCATCGCGAGAGCCTATAGCCTTCACTTTCTTTTGGCTCGTCCTATAATCCTACCCAACGTTCGTGGGACAGGAAAGTCTGCGTGCGAGGCTTGGGAATCTAGGGAGTGACTATGGTAGCATGGTGCAAATAGCCGGGATGAGCTACTTTGTCCACACGCACCAAGAGGATTGTGTCTGCTAGAAGAAATCAGATGTAGCTTTCTGTGATAAGTAATATTCCAACAGTATAGGATCATAGTTTGAAGCCACTTCACAATCACTAGTTTCCGCGCACCTCTACCGGCGAGTTGTGGACAAAAGCAGCTGATAGCTGTATACGAACCTGTTTTCCACAAAATCGTTTCTGGGTTTTCGTATTCGACAGTGTCATGTATTGATTTTTTTAAAATCTTAATCGAGGTCTTTTTTATTATGTACTGTCTATCTGACTGACTGTTTCTTTGTGTGTGTGTGTGTTTTTTTTTTCTGGTAATAACAGGTTTCATAATTTGGTCGCGGTTGGGGTTATAGGCTCCTGATCTTGAGCAAATAGCGAAAACCAAAGTAAACTTTAGCGTTGAATCCGTTGGCCACGGAGAATTGGTATTATTCTGTAAGTTCTTTACTACAGCAAGAGAGTATACTCCCTTGACTATGGGACATTGGGCCGGGGGAACTTAGTATTTTGACCCGGCATAGGGGAGGAGGGGAGGGGGAGGGGGTACCCTGGCCAGATTCCAAGTCACGGGGATGATCGAAGTATGTTTTTTTTCTTGGTTTGAAAATATTTTGAACAAATTTTTTTTTTAGCTGTGGCTTTACTTAAGTATTCAAAATATTCGTTCTTTTTTGGTCTTGATTTTCGCTTCCACGGGTCACTCACGACACTTGGAATCCGAGGTACCCCTCCTGTTTAGTACTTCGAAGGCAAAAAAGCTGTTTCAAAGCCTGGTAGGTAAATAAAAGAAAAATAAATATGCATGGCTGTTTCTACTGCGATGAGGGGAGTTCTTGTCAAAAAATGTGAAAACTGTATTAAAATTGCTGACAACAGCTACGAAAATTTCGTGACAGCATGCTGACGTGACTAAAGCGTGTGACCAATTTCCCGTCACACGCCAAAGGTCATACGATCTTGTGCGATGTTTATTATCAGCCGACGAACGATTGAAGCGATGAAAGGTTTTCAAAATCGAAGTCATTAGTTTGCGAGGAATTTTTATTCCTTTTGCCTCCTGACTGAAGTAAAAACTCTTGTAACTCTTGCTTCGACGTGTCGGGACTTTCGATTCACGGCCGGATTCGGACGCAGTTGCTGAGCAAACGTACGTTTGTCTTTTGGCTAAAAATTATTTATTTTGTGACTCAAAACGACGCAAAAGAAGTTGGAAATAACTTTCCTTGCCCTAAAAACGTGTTACAAGCAATGGTGAGTAATCCTTTCATGTAAAACCTTTCTTTTTAGTTTGACAACCGTCCGCAAGCCGTCTAATTTGCATAAATTTCCCAATTCAATTGCTCTCACCGCTTGCTTTGGTGTCAGGATTATATTTGATTTCCAGAGCTAAAACTTTCCAGTAAGTTAGTACAAAAGCCAAGGTTCCATTTTATATTGATTTTATGATCAAGCGGCATATACCAGAGGCCTTTTTTAATAGTCAAAGTTGGCCTTCGTTTTCTAGCACGTCTAACGTCACAAATATGACCTCTTTACACTTGTCGATTATAAAAATTTAAAGCATTGTTTATCAAATTTTCTTTTAGGATTTTCAAGAGTAGGAACAAAATAATAATTCGGTGAAGTTTCAGTGTCAGGGAATGTTTCTTACGCGTTCACCCTTCTCTCGAAGTTGCCATTGAATCCTGCTGTGTTTTGTGCGAAAAACGAGCATAAAATCGATTTTTCAAACTTTTCCTAATTTCTCCTTTAAAATGAATCGTTTGAACCCAAAACTATTTTTCCTTAAATAAGGTCACTAAAAGGGATGTTTTGGCAAAATAAAAAAAAATTCGATTTTTTGACGAGTGTCGTGCGATTCTCGATTTTCTCAGATAATGGCTATTAAGTAGCTGGCGATTGCTTGTTTATGGAATTAACACTAATGCAAAATAGAGTCGTTCGAGAATTCAAGAGCAGACCAACTTGTGTTGATTCATTAACCCTTTCACTCCACACCAGAGCCGAGTTGCTTGAAGCCCGATTGGAGGAAATTTAAGATAGCTAACCATAAGAACCGATATGTTCAAGAACTAACTGGGTCTCAAAAAACTCGGCCTAAGATGCCACATGCAAGATCGTTGTTATGCCACGTCATCCAGTTCTTAACAACGACAACAACAACAACGACAACAAAAAACAATAATAATCATTGCGCAATCTAACAAAATTCCGAACGTATGGCAATTAAAAAACAATTTTTGATCAAAGTTATTTGGCAAAGATGGCTACTGAGAGAGAGAGAGAGAGAGAAAGAAAGAAACGTAGAAATATAGAAATAATGATAAGTACCGAGTTAATGTGGATATGGGAAGTAAATAATGTAACTATAGCTTCGACGATATGAGATTTTGCAATATGGTCTTAGAACCTTCCCAACCTTAGCGTAAGAAACTTCATATGACTAAACCCTAATCTTGTCGATTGCTAATATACGCACAAGCAGAAAAAGCGCATCCTTTTTTCACTACTGATGCATTACATGCACTCATAACTGCAAAAATAATGTAACGTGGGAGCAAACTAAACTCTTCTCTCAAATCATTATACGTAAAGTTGCGATTTTCTGATCTCACTGAATAATGCCTTTGGAGTGGCAACGTAGACCCTGTTACGTAACACTTTTGGCTGGAGTGAAAGGGGTAATTATGGTATGCGTATTAATAATATAACCTATCTCAGTATAGCCCTGGCTGACCCTCCATGCGTTCATGCAAACTATTCCACAAGTTCACCGATAGGAGTGCTTTGAGTATTACTCACTTCTAACATCAACTATCCCTGTTGCCTGCTGGACTCCTTTCTTGTTTTGCGCCACGCACACGTACGTTCCCGCGTCCTCAATAGTCGCGTTTTGTATCCGCAGCACGCCTTCTTCAATTACGTGATTCTCCGTTAAGCTGCCGCCAATTTTGTTCCACTGTATGGTGGTGTAGGGACGTCCTGTCACCTGACATGACAGGATTGCTGATGCACCTACGTCAATAGTTTGATTTAACGGTACCATGACTGCTGTTGGAGCGACAGAGTTGTCTGAAGAAAAAAACGAGGTATATACTCTACCATCTCACCTCTTAATAAGAAGAGTTTTAATAAATTTCAATCTTTTAAGTTTACTGACAAAATATTATCATGTTAAAACTTTCATTTTTGAGAGACCGTGCGTGGCTCTGAGGTAGAGGGAATTTAAACAAAATATTATGACTTATTCAAACCTGGGCTGGAATCTTTTGTTTTATACCCCTCTATCTCAGACTCAAGCGTTAGTTTTACCAAAACTCGAAACTGTTTGACTGATTCTCAAAAGTAAGTTTTACCTCACTCAGGCTACTAGCCTGATGTGTTCTGTTAGAAAATAAGAAAAACGAAAAAAAATTAAAGACGCTGTGCCACGAAATTCAGCCATATTAGGTAATTACAAAATGCCTGTTAAATTAAGAGAAACAAAAATAACCGCTTAAAACATTAAAGGAAGGTTAAAATAACACAACAGTTACAGCAGATGCCACGGATGGGCAAAACTGAAGAAGATTGAAACGGATTGAAATTAGGGTTTTTGAAAACTGTTCAACCTAACAGTTTATCAAAGTTGCTCTCTGCTGTTTGCAACTTGAAAAATAATGCACAGGAGACATATTTGTTTGTCTCGAATCTTTGCTTGTGTCATTTACAAGTTATTTTTTTTTGCTTACTTTAAGTTCCATAGCGATTGAGGGCGAGTAACTCTGGCAAAATTAAACAAAATGAACTGGACTGCCTTGACTCTCCTTTAAGTGCAGTTTTATCCAATGTCGAATAAGGTCCCGTCTACGTCTACACGTATCCGGATATTTTCTAATCCGCAAAATTTTTAAATCCACATGTATCCGTACTCAAATCTAATATAATTTGCCCACGTCCACCCGTACTGGGATTCACTCTCAGTTCGTTAGCTAATTTGTACAGCGATCTTCGGCTCATGCGAAAATTTTATTGCCAGTCTTCTTCAATAACTGTTTCACTGACAAAATCGTCGCCAAGCACTATTTCGCTCGTTTCAACTTGTTTACGGTGTCCAAATTCGTCCGTCCGACCTGGAAAGAAGCTTCAAAATGTCGAGCCGCCGTTTGGCATAAGTCTCAAGTACTCATACTAGGTTTAACAGTCCACAAGTTATGACTTGAATCTGAAGTCCAAGAAGTGTGGAAGCGATAACCCATCGCGCTCGGCATCGTCTTGAATATTCATGGTAAAGAACTGGGCTCGATGTTGTGACGTCACTGGATAAAAACATATCTGGAATTAGCGTCCACGCGATGCCGGATTCATAGCGTATTCAAAAATTTCCAGTTTGGCGAACGGATTCGTATGCCGGATACACCGGATATGTGTGGACAGAAGCCGAATTCGCAAAGAAAAAGTTGCGGATTCAAAAATTTCCTGACACTTATGAACGGGGCCTAAATAATACCTTTTTCAACATTCAATGTTACAGGTGCAGCCTTGGCTCCGAATTTGTTCGCAGCTCTGCAAAAGGAAGTTCCTGCGTCTTCAAGCTTCGTTGAGGAAATTATTAGCACGCCATTCTCGGACGAAGATGACGAGGAAAGCTGACCTTTCTCACGTGACCAGCGAATTGTAGGAGGCGGGTCTCCAACAGCAAAGCATTCAAATAACGCCTCATCACCTTCTATAACATTGAGAGTGCTGGGAGTGACTGAGATTTCAGGGACGCTGCCACCGGCTGTTAAAAAGATGATAAATAACTGATGTAAGAAACAAACATCGTTCCCAGGGATCATTATACGTTTCTGGGAAACTGCCCACCTACCCCTTCCCTAAGCCAACATTTTGCCCTAAGTGGGAAGTAAGTGTTAATGCTGACGAGAGAGAGGGAGAGGGGGAAGGGGAAAGTAGGGGGGTAAGAACCCTGGGAACCATGTTGGCATCGAGTAGAAAACGTGTTTATTTTCTGCTTAAGGGAGCTACTTCACGAAATTTATCAAAACCCAAATCGAGCGAAAGATAAAAATAACTGCAATGGAATGGAGATGAACTTTTTTTTAAATTTCAGTGTTAACCTAACAATTTTTCAAAGCTTTATTTATTGTTTGTAACCCCTGGGAAAGAATCAACGAAATCAAAGAAAAATGAAGAACAATGAAGGATCAATTTCTTACCGGAGACATTCAGAAACGCGCTAGTACCGGAAATGCCACCCAAGTTTTCAGCGGTGCAAAAGTACTTTCCTTCATTTATCTTCTCTATTTTAGGAATTGTAAGAAGCCCATTGTCATTAGACAATATTGCTTCTGATGGTAGTTTACTGTCAGGACCACCGTGCCACTGGAGGACTGGAGCGGGAAATCCAATGGCTGAGCAGCGAAATTGAGCCGAGTCTCCTTCGCGCACGCTCAGTAGTACGGGTGAAATCGACACTTTCGGACTTGTCACTACAAAAGAAAAATAAGTGCTTTTGCGGCCATTAGATTAACCATACGTATACTAAATATAACCATTAACCATACTGAATTATAGAGGAAGGTAAAAAACTAAATTGCATGACAGAACTCCACTAATCCATACAGCTGGTAACCGTTACTAAACTTGACATATATATGTATAAATCTGTTACAACGAGAAACAAGATTAAATGGAGTATTTGGAATAGTAACTCGCCATGAGTTAAGGCGAAAATCTGTTTACCCTAAATATTTGGCACTTTCGTTTATTTTTTCTTTAAAAGGTTAAGTTTATTCAATCAAATGACCACCTACTAATAGTGGCAAGCATTTAATCTAGATTATTAGCCATACCTTCATTGGAACAATGTCTGACTTCTGTCTTAAACACCTCGAGTCACACCGCAATCTACGATTTACACCCCATAAACAAGAGGAGGGGCAACTTAGCCGAGTTCATTTTCCGAGTAAAAGCATATCTGGGTGCCTGTTCTACTGAAAACCTGTTCGACTGTTGAGTTGCTGATCCTCGTAAGCGACAACAAAATCTTGACATTTTGCGTGGTCGCCTGCGGGATGTTCGAATGTATTATTTTTATATTATTTTAGTCAAATGAAGGAAAATATTAATAATGACAAGTTAATGTAACAGGCGAGGCTTGAGGTACGGAAAAATGGGCAACAAAAGACGTGCAAGTTGTCGTGCAACATTGCTGCAAAACGAGTTGAAGATCGATGTTGCGCGTTTTACCACCCACATCAAAACCTGTCTCGCAACAAATCAGGTTGTTAACAGGTTTGAACGTGGGTGGTAAAACGCTTAAGATCGCTATGTTTTGCAAAATTGCTGCAAAACAAGTTGCACGCTTTTTGTTGCCCGTTTTTCAGTACCTTTAGCTATCCAGAAGCCAGTATTTTCTTACCTCCCACACGCAGCTGAACGCTGGCCATGTCATTAGTAAATGAGTTTTTACCAGTACATGTGTAGGTCCCTTCGTGAATACCTTGTGTATTCTCAAACTTAAGGACACCATTTTCGTCTACAGCCCCTTCAGGAAGTGCACCATACATACCAAGCGTCCATTTGAGACTATAATCAGCGTCACTTTTGGCTGTGCAAGTGAACTGTGCACTTTTGTTTAATGGGACGTAGAGAACTTTTGGGGAGACAGTTACTGCAATAGGGTCTACAAGAACGTCTAAAAAAAGACAGTAGTTCACAGTTTAGAGCGATTTTCGTATGACCTTGAAATGAAAACACGCGATCAAAACAGAAACAACAAACGAACGGAAATAGAGCTATTTGATTGGTTTATCAAACGCTCAGGTGAAAAGACGTCATGCCTGAGATACTTTGCTTTGACGTCATACTGCAAAATCTAAACGATTGGTCAATCAAACAATTCCTCTCTTTTGTTTGTATTCTGTCATACTAGCCTGATTTTCGTCATCAAAATGACATAAATGACGAAATGTATTGAAATTATTCATTTGTGCGCTGTGCTATTCACCAGGCCTTACGTAACTCAGCTGTAGCGAAAGAACATCAATGAGAAACTGCGATGAAGCAGTGTTCATATTTCTATCTTATTTGAAACTGACATAAATTCTGCTAAATGCAGTAGAGGTATTGACAAGGGAACATTCACCTTTCACAGTCATCTTTGCCGAAGCTGTTTCGGACCCGTAAACATTTCTAGCGGTACAAACGTACGTTCCTTCGTCTTCTTTCTGCACTCCCCTGATCTTTAATCTTTTTCCTTTCACTGAAACGCGCCGCGACATCGGTTGTCCGTCTTCCCGAGTCCAAGCGAATCTTGGTCTTTGCTGTCCGCCAGCAAAGCAATAAAACACAGCGTTTTTACCTTCCTCCTTGATGCGCTTCATGGGCCTGACTTTGACAGTTGGTAGATATCCCAC